AGGACTCCAGCATTCGTGAACTGAAGATGTGGTTGAGAAAAATTTTGCGACCTTGGCGCCAGTGTGGACCGTATGGTGACCAAGTGATGTTGGAATAGTTGTAAGTTGTGTACTTGCCTGCGGCCGTCTGGGGTCTAGAGGCAAAGAAATTATCAAATGTCTTCAAGAAGAGCTTAGTCACTTCAGGAGATGATGCAACGACAACGGGGATGGATCCGAACTTGAGTTGCATTAAGGATCCATATTGTTGGGATAGTTTGTGGAGGGATTGGTGAGGGAGGGGACCAATCAGGTTAAGGTTGCCAATGATAGGCCATGGCTTGGGACCTGGAGGAAGATTTAGTCCATGGCGACGGTGCCAAAAGATGGTGAAATTTTTTGATAGAAAGGCGAGAGAAATTAAAAATGTAATGGCAATTACAAGCCAGGAAGGAGGCTCCATGGCTGGAGATGTATGTTTGTTGAGGAATTCGATCATGGTAGTTCTTTGTAGGCTAGAGTAGTATATAAGGTATATATTTATACTGTGAAGTAGCAACCAAGCCTGCATTATTGGATAGTCAATCATCGCATGAAACACGTGTATAAATTTTTTAAAAATAATGTATGCCAAGAAAGTAACATGTGCTGCACCTATTCTTTCTGCCAAGTGTCATTCAGTACCTTGGAGGTACATGCCCCCTCCCATGATGGGTTTGAATCCACTCTTGTCTACTTGTTAAAAAAGAAAAAACAAAAAGGTAACATATGCTTATCGGCCTTGGAATGTCTCCATTTAAAGGAATGACGGTAAGAGATTAAGAAAATGAAAATTAATTAATTAATAAATTAACCCACTAAATTAAACAAAATTATAGTGTTTTGCCGTTCAAATTTTAAATTAAGTTAAATATTTAATTGGTCCCTCAACTTTTACTTTTAAATTAATTTTGTGCTTAAACTTTAAAAAATATTTAAAATATCCTTAAACTTTAAAAAATATTTAAAATATCCTTAAACTTTAATTTTTGATACCAATTTTAATCATTCTATCAATTAAGTGCTGATCTGTACATATTTTCTAAGATGTTATATTTTTTAAATCTCAATAATAGAAAGAAGAGAAATACATTTTGTATAATTTTTTTATCTCACATTTTTATACAAATTGATATATTATTAAAATAATTAATTTTTTAAATTTATATAATTAAATACATTTATCCATTTAATAGTGTATTAAAATTATATAAAAAATGTGACAAAAATTTATCC